ACTCACCGGGACGACCTCGACATGGCCGAAGACTTACGGCACCGGGCCCCCAAGATCTGCGCCTCCCCACGGGGCCTGCGTGCACCACAGCAGCCTGCGTGCATCACAACGCCTGTGTACGCCACAGCGCCTGCGTGCACCGCAACAGACGCGTACAACACAGCGCCGGTTGCCTGTGCACACCACAGCGCCTGCGTGCACCACAGCGCCTGGGTACACCACGGTGCCTTTGTACACCACAGCAGCCGTGTGCATCACAGCCGAGGTGTGCACCACAATGCCTGCGTGCACCACAACGCCTGCGGACACTTCGGCGCCAGTGCACAAGCAGCCATAGAAAAAAACGCACGAACACCTAAATCTTCCTCTTCCTCCACCCTCCTCCCCCCATGTCCGCCTCTGTTCTTGTTGGAACAGCAGCACGAAGGACGTTGAATGTCGCGGAGCCAATTAAAACCTTACACACGTCGAATACATGTCTCGGAAACGATTTTTGTTTCCCCCAGGGGGCGGGCCCAAGAAGGAGAAATGTCAACGAACCGAATATGATTGCAAAGAAAAACAATACATTTCGAACACTCGTTGCGCATGTGAGTGCACGCGCCGAACGTCCAGCGACTGGAAAGCCACGCGCCAGGTTTATCCCAGCTTCGGCTGGCAGCCGTGAAAATCCACGAGCTTTCTTTTTTCCCTAAGGTCTATAATTCGTGGAAGGCGGCTCGACTCGTCGTCCGCGCGCGGCCGTTCAGCGGCTACGTCGGTGCATCGATGATGATGATGGTGGTAATGAGGATGATGATTATGATGATGATGATGATGATGATGATGATGACGCGCACACGACCGCCCCAAGACGGTTCCAAGTGGCCAAGGAGCCTCCCGACAGGGGTGTAAATATTATCCCAGGACTCCGGGCTACATGGACCCCATGTGTGTCTGGAGTCTGTCAGAGCTCCTTTTTTGGCCAAAGGTGGTTCCAAGAGGGCCTTAGAGAGGCCACGATGGCATCCAATATCGTTCAAGTGGCCAAGGCGCCTCCCGACAGGGGTGTAAATATTATCCCAGTACTCCATGCTACATGGACCCCTTGTGTGTCTTGAGTCTGTCAGAGCTCCTTTTTTGGCCAAAGGTGGTTCCAAGAGGACCTTAGAGAGGCCACGATGGCCTCCAAGATGGTTGAAGTGGCCAAGGAGCCTCCCGACAGGGGTGTAAATATTATCCCAGAACTCCGGGCTACATGGACCCCTTGTGGTGTTTGAGTAGTCAGAGCACTTTTTTGCCAAGGGTGGTCCAAGAGGGCATTAGAGAGGCCACGATGGCCTCCAAGATCGTTCAAGTGGCCAAGGAGACCTCCCGACAGGGGTGTAAATATTATCCCAGGACTCCGGGCTACATGGACCCCTGGTGTGTCTTGAGTCTGTCAGAGCTCCTTGTTTGGCCAAAGGTGGTTCGAAGAGGGCCTTAGAGAGGCCACGATGGCCTCCAATATCGTTCAAAAGTGGCAAGGAGCCCTCCGACAGGGGTGTATATATCTATCCAGGACTCGGGCTACAGGGACCCCTTTGTGTGTCTTGAGTCTGTTCTGAGCTCCTTTTGGCCCAAGGTAGGTTCAAGAGGGCTTTAGCTGAGAGTCCACGATGGCCTCCAAGATCGTTCAAGTGGCCAAAGAGCCTCCCGACAGGGGTGTAAATATTATCCCAGGACTCCGGGCTACATGGACCCCTTGTGTGTCTTGAGTCTGTCAGAGCTCCTTTTTTGGCCAAAGGTGGTTCCAAGAGGGCCTCAGGGAAGCCACGATGGCCTCCAAGATCGTTCAAGTGGCCAAGGAGCCTCCCGACAGGGGTGTAAATATTATCCCAGGACTCCGGGCTACATGGACCCCTTGTGTGTCTTGAGTCTGTCAGAGCTCCTTTTTTGGCCAAAGGTGGTTCCAAGAGGGCCTTAGAGAGGCCACGATGGCATCCAATATCGTTCAAGTTGCCAAGGCGCCTCCCGACAGGGGTGTAAATATTATCCCAGGACTCCGGGCTACATGGACCCCTTGTGTGTCTTGAGTCTGTCAAAGCTCCTTTTTTGGCCAAAGGTGGTTCCAAGAGGGCCTTAGAGAGGCCACGATGGCCTCCAAGATCGTTCAAGTGGCCAAGGAGCCTCCCGACAGGGGTGTAAATATTATCCCAGGACTCCGGGCTACATGGACCCCTTGTGTGTCTTGAGTCTGTCAGAGCTCCTTTTTTGGCCAAAGGTGGTTCCAAGAGGGCATTAGAGAGGCCGCGATGGCCTCCAAGATCGTTCAAGTGGCCAAGGAGACCTCCCGACAGGGGTGTAAATATTATCCCAGGACTCCGGGCTACATGGACCCCTTGTGTGTCTTGAGTCTGTCAGAGCTCCTTTTTTGGCCAAAGGTGGTTCGAAGAGGGCCTTAGATAGGCCACGATGGCCTCCAAGATCGTTGAAGTGGCCAAGGAGCCTCCCGACAGGGGTGTAAATATTATCCCAGGACTCCGGGCTACATGGACCCCTTGTGTGTCTTGAGTCTGTCAGAGCTCCTTGTTTGGCCAAAGGTGGTTCGAAGAGGGCCTTAGAGAGGCCACGATGGCCTCCAAGATCGTTGAAGTGGCCAAGGGGCCTCCCGACAGGGGTGTAAATATTATCCCAGGACTCCGGGCTACATGGACCCCTTGTGTGTCTTGAGTCTGTCAGAGCTCCTTTTTTGGCCAAAGTTGGTTCCCAAAAGAGTGGCTCTGGGAAGGCGATGGCTTCAAGATCCGCTCATAGTGGCCAAGGGCCTCCCGCAGGGGTGTAAAATTTATCCCTGGGTCCGGGGGCTACAAGATTGGCCCTTGTGTTGTCTTGCTGTCTGTCAGAGCTCCTTTTGGCAAAGGTGGTTTCCAGAGGGCCTTTAGGAGAGGGCCGCGTCCGGCCCAAGACGGATTCCCATGGGTCCAAGGAGCTTCCGACAGGGTCCAAGAGCTATTCCCGGGACTCCGGGCTACATGGACCCCGTGTGTGTCTTGAGTCTTGAAACTTGAGCCAAACTAAAGCTAAAGCGCTCCAAAACCTCCTCCTCCTCCTCCTCCTCCTCCTCCTCCTCCTCCTCTCCTCCTCATCAAACTTTTCCCCGTCCTCTTTCTCGTCGTCGTCGTCGCTGTGGTGCACGCAGGCTGCTGTGGTGTACGCAGGCGCTGCGGTGTACACAGGCGCTGTGGTGCACGCAGGCACTGTGGTGTACACAGGCGCTGTGGTGCAGATCGCCACCTTCACGCTGCCCCTACCTGTCCTCGGTCATCCCTAGGCATTCCCAGACGCCGCGGGCGCCGAACGTGACGCTACCGGCCCCCCGCCCCCCCCCCCCCGGTAACGCCCGTTATCGCCGGGGAATAAAAAAACGGGCTCTTGGGACGCCGGTGTGCGTCGGGAAACTGAAAAGCGAAAATTCCAAAATCCTTCGAAAAACTTCGGAGAAGCAATGATTCTGCCTCGTCGGGCCTTCTTTGGAGACCTCTTCGGGCGTCCGGGCTGCCCGTTCCAGACTTCTAGAGGCCTCTTGGGGGCCTCTCGAGTCCGATCGCACCACGACGTCATCGTGTGCCCAGATGCCTCCAGACGCCCAGGCACCCGCAAGCTTCAATCCTCGAGCCCCGATACTGGACCTGTGCTTACTGTCCTCGGGCCGACTGGGAGGAGGAGGAGGAGAAGGAGGAGGAGGAGGAGGGGGAGGAGGAGGGGGAGGAGAGAGAGGAGGAGGAGGGGGAGGGGGAGGAGGCGGAGGAGGGGGAGGAGGAGGCGGAGTAGGGCTTCAGGGCTTGAGGGCTGATGACATCTGGCTCCGTGCACGCGCGGGGACAGAAGCCGATGCGGAGGACGAGACAGTGCGCAGGGAAGTTGCAGTGGACCTGCCACCGCCGACCCTCTTCGAGGCAGCTGGAGCTGCCGCTGCACAACCTTTCGGCCAGAGCAGAACCGTTCGCCCTTTGGCTTGCCTCGGCTGCGACACGTCCCACGACCCTGCCCGGAGTCCAAACGTACCAGTTCTCCAAGCTGCGTCCAGCCGTGGCGACGAGGGGGCCACTCGAAAGTCCCAAAAGCCCCGCCCCGTGCATCGGTTTCAGGGCAATGCCTCGGGCTTCCGGCGGCCGACCGGGACGATTCCGGCACACACAGGACGCAGTTTTTCAGCCCGGATCGATTTTTTAAAATCAACAATTCGGGCCTCCCGGGCCTCTCTTGGGAGGCTTCTTTGGGGCCTCTGGGCCGCAGTTTGGAGGCCTCATGGGGAGCCGGTTTGGGGCCCATTGGGGTCTTTTGGGAGCCTCTTGGGGGCCTCCTTGGGGCTTCTTGGAGGCCTCTTGGGGCCTCTTGGGGCCCTCTGGGGGTCTCCTGGGGCCCTCTCGGGGCGGTAAATTAGATGTTTGAACCTTCGGTCGCCCTCTCGGGCCCCTCTTGGGGCCTTCTCGGGGCCGTGTTGGGATCTCTTGGGCGCCTCTTGGGCTGTCTTGGGGCCCTCCAGAGCTGTCTTGGGGCCGTCTTGGGGCCGTATTGGGGGCGTCCCGGGCCATCTTTGGGCGCTCTTGAGGGCCTCTGGAGCTGTCTTGGAGCGTCGGAAAGCTGGAAGAGCGAGAACGCAAAAAAACATCGAAAAACACACAGAAAATCAACAATTTTGGCTTCCCCGGGCTCTCTTGGTAGGCTTCTTTGGGGCCTCTTGGGGCGTCTTGGGGCCATCTTGTGCTGTCTTGGGGCTGTCTTGGGCGGTCTTGGGGGCCTCTGGCGCAGTCTTGGGGCCACCTTTCGCGTCTTGGAGCCCTCTGGGCCTGTGTTGGAACGCTCTTCGGGCACTCTGGGGCTGTCTTGGCTGCTCCGGGGAGGCTCCAGGCCCCCCCCGTCCTCCCATGGGGGGTCGGGGCACCTGTTTTCAGGCCGCGGGTCAGCCCCCCAGGGATATATATATATATATATATATATATATATATATATACATATATATATATATATATGTATATACGAGGTGCATTATGACAGGACCCCCCGCACCTGCGCGCCGACGAAATCTAACCCGTGGAGCGAACATGCGCGGGATGTGTGCGAAATTTCAAAGGTGTTCTCGCCACCTGGCGTCAGTGGCAAGACGGGCAAACAATGTGGGTTCGCCCAGATCAATGGAAAAGAACTTGCCGAGCACGAGACGAACGGACGCCCACAATAAGGATGCGCTGCTGCCCAGACGTGGATCGCAGGAAAACGCTCGCTGAAAACGACGAGCGGTGCGCGGTCCGTGCGCCGCAAGAAAATTAGCACCGGCTATCCGGCTACCTGCACACCAGAACAACACGCAGACGGGTCTGCGCGACCACGACTGCGCACGAGGAAAACGAAAGCATTTGTCAGTAGAGGACCTCGACGCGGAGCTCGAAGCCCATGAGCCAGCAGTCGGAGGTCCTGTCCAGCACGTCGCCCCTACAGGGCTCCGTAGCTGTCGCGGACCGCAATAATAGTAAGCACTGCTGGGGAGCTCGTTGGAACACCGTTGAGGCGTCTGCGGTCCGTTCTGGGTGGCTCGTGGGCCGCGGTCTTCAAGCGTATGTTACGACAGCCCAGCCACACCCCAAGTGCAAATGCGAGAACAAGCACCAAGTCAGGAATGCTACAATTCACAGCGGCTAACGTCTACTGGCAAATGGCAAACTGCATTGTGGATGCACGTAGAAGGCCATGCAGAACAAACGCGCCGATCACAGAAAGTACGCACGAGCACGTCGGAGCTGGTGACGACTCTGACGACGTTAAACTGGCCCGCAAGTCTGGTGTCGTCCTCATCGTCGTGGTCGTTGTATAGTTTGAAATCCAGGTAGCCGAGGGGTCGGCCGTCATGGTGCTACTGGGCAGCAAATCTGGTGTCGTCGTCGTCGTCGTGGTCGTTGTTGTACTTGGAATCCAGGTCGCCGGGAGGTCGGCCGTCATGGTGCTTAAAATATTGCTGGCGCGAACTGAACTCAAATCGCCCAGTTGCATGCACGCAGGCGGAGCAACCACTGGCGCTGTATACGACAGCTGGCCCACCCCCGCACATCGTATACTTTTTTTCCCCATAAGGGTTGTTAGGACGCTCCCCTTATCGATCATTGCACCTGTCATCATCTGAGCAGGATAATACATGAAGGCAGCCCAGCACATCTCATTTTGCGTTGCATCCCCGAACTCAGTAGACTCTGTTCTCAAGGACGTATCATACTTGCATGTAAACGTTAGCTCGTCTCCTCTAGAAATAGTGTTCAACAAGGGCGGTTCAAAGTTCTGGTGGTTGAAATCGTACCTCTTCTCCTGACGGAGCGTCCCACGATAGCTTCCGTCTGCGCTGCTGGTGATATCAATACCGAAGCTCTTGCCGACGAGATGGCCATGGTAAAACACACCCAGCACGTTGATACTGGGTACGTCCCAAGCGTTCGTGCACTGCTCTGGGACGGTAACGGTGCTCAGAGTGATATCTGCCTGGCCGGCTGGCAATGGATTGCGATGATTCGGGCTGGTGCCCCCGTTGAGGGTGAAGACTGCAGCGTCGTGGGTGCGGAGAGAATCGCTGAAAATCATCATGACGCCGCTGCTGTCCTTGACGCCTGCGACCAGCAACGGGTTGTGATAGTGCATCTGCAGTGCCAACCAGCGCACGTTCTGACCAAACGGCATGCCCACGTCTGCAGGGAATACAACGTCTTCGCTCCCAACGGCCCAGGCCCATTTCAATGCGTTGCAAGCTGGCGGCATGCTTCCGCAATCACCGATCACCTGATTGTGTGATACATACTTATCGTATAAGGCATTGGCAGCACTGTCACAACTATACAATATCATGTGATGGACATACTGTTCGCTGCTCGCGGATAACTTCGGCGCAAACTTGACGACGTGGTGCTTATCCAAGACACTCCTGTTAGCTGGCAAAAGTTGTGCGAGATCGAAGATACCACAAATATAGGGGTTCGTAGGATCATTGCCTCCCTGCCCGAGCACCACGTCGACATCTGGCATCAGCACGTCCACTTCCTCCAAGCTGGTCAGATCCGGAAGCGTCGAAGGCCCTGAGAGCAAGTTGACATGAAACTGGCCACGCTTACTGCTGTGGTATGCAAAGCTGTGGGAGCTACCCAGTGCCCAGTGCATCCAGCGGCTCACATCTTCAACGGGGTACCTGTCGCCAGCACCGCAGGAGATCCGAGGCAGTAGCAAACCCCATGCAGTTCCGCCTTTCTCCTCGCTGGCGAAGATCAATGTCAGGTCCTGCGTTTCCTGCATTTGTGGAGGTGCGTAGTCTGTGGAGTAGCGCTCCTCGGCTATCCAAGTGCCGCCTTCCTGCCGCACTACAAATTGCTGGGCCCCTTTCATGCCGCCGTTGCCAGCAAACGCCAACGCACTCCAACCACTGTGCCCAGCAGCGTAAAGTCCGAGCTTCAGGAAGCTTCCCTCCGCACTGGGCCCATAATAAATCAAGACATCGTCGTGCACCTTCTGACAGAAAGGCCACTGGTCTTGAATAAAATTGCCATTGCCGGCAAAGCAGGTTACATCAGCGGCCATTCTCGACAGCTGGGCAACACAGGCAACCAATCGCAGAGCAATCGTTGGCATGCTGCCCTGAATCAGTCAGATCGCTCGATTGATTGTATCTGGAAGGTCGCTCGCATGGGAAACCTATGCGCTGTGGAGCACATGAGGACCTTGAGCCAAAATGGCTACGGATATATATATATATATATATATATATATATATATGTCCGCCGGCCCCCTTGTAGGGCCACCAGGCTGTCGGACGAAGGTTCGCAGTTTCCTGTACCGTTGCTGCTTCCAGTTTCCACTGTTGCAGTTCTGCTTCTTGCTGCTTACTGTTCCTTGTTGATGGACCGCGCGAGGGGGGGAGACCCCAAAAAGGCATTTTTACCACGCCTTGGCGTGTTGTCTGAATTGCTGGGGTGGGTAAAAATTGACACCCCTCACGCAGATCGGCGGGGTCAGGGTCCAAAAACACAAGGGAATTGCCACATTTCTGAAATTCGGTGGCACCCCTCACGCAGATCGGCGGGGTCAGAGCCCAAAACACACATGGGATTTGCCACATTTCCAAAATTTGCTGGCACCCCTCACGCAGATCGGCTGGGTCTGGGCCCAAAAACACAAGGGATGTGCCACATTTCTTAGATTCGGCGGCACCCCTCACCCAGATCCGTAGGGTCAGGGTCCAAAAACATAAGGGATGTGCCATATTTCTAAAAATCCGGTGGCACCCGTGACGCAGATCCGTAGAGTCAGGGTCGAAAAACAAACAGGTCCTGACACTGTTTCACGGCGGCGCCCAGACCTCATGATCTATCTTTTGCATCTCCCATTATCCGAGACAGGGGGCCGGCGGCATGGGGCGAAGCCCTTACGGATATGTATATGTGTGTATATATATATATATATATATATATATATATATGTATACGTGTATGCTCGCCCCCTGTCATCATATCTTTCGCCTCCTCTCGTGCCCTCTTCCTCTTCACTCGCCTCCTCATCCTTCTCTCCGTCCTCCTCGTTCTCATCATCCTCATCCTCCTCCCAATTCTCCACATTATTCCTCATTTGTTACCTCCTCATTTGTCTCATCCTCATCATTCCCATCAGTATTCATCATTCTCGTGTTCCTCATTCTCTTCATTCGCCTCCTCATTCTCCGTCTCCCCATTATCCTGATTCCTGTCATTATCCCCCTCATCCTCCTCCTCTCCTACAGTATCATCTTTCTTGCCTTCATATATGTGTCCTCGCTGCTTCTCTCTCTCTCTCTCTCTCTCTCTCTCAATCCGAAATCGTTTGGAAAGCACCACGCCCGGATTCCATTTGAAAGCCTCACAACAGGATGTTTTTTTTCTCCTGAAAACACGAAGAAGTTCCATTGGAAATCCTCTCACCAGGATTCCTTTGGAGAGCACCACAGGGGGATTCGATTGGAAAGTCTCACAACAGGAACCCTTCGGAAAGCACCACAAAAGGATTCGAGCGGAAAGCCTCTCAACAGGAATCATGTGGAAAGCACCGCAAGGGGGTTCCATGGGAAAACCTCACAATCGGAATCCTTTGGAAAACACCACAAAGGGATTCGATGGAAAAACCTCACAATCGGAATCCTTTGGAAAGCACCACGGGGGGATTCTATTGTAAAGCCTCTCGTCAGGTTTCATTTGGAAAGGACCCCAAAGGGATTCTAGTGGAAAGCCTTGCGCAAGGACCTTTGGAAAGCACCACAGGGGGATTCGATTGGAAAGCCTCACAACAGGAACCCTTCGGAAAATGCTACAGATGGCTCCTATGGGGAAGCTTAACCAAGGAAATCCGGTGGAAAGCTCAACAAAAGGCTTCCATTGGAACACCTCACAATCGTAATCCGCTGGAAAACGCAAAGGGATTCCAATCGAAAGCCTCACAACAGGAACCCCTTGAAAAGCATCACAAATGAGTTTCATTGGAAAGCAGATCAACAGGATTCCTTTGGAGAGCACCACAAAGGGGATTCGATTGGAAAACCTCACAAGCGGAACCCTTTGGAAAGCACCGCAGAGGGATCCTAGTGGAAAGCCTCACCACAGAAGGGATTCGATGGGAAAGCCTCACAATTGGAACCCTTTGGAAAGCACCACAAAGAAGTTCAACAGGAAAGCCTCACAAGCGGAACCCTCCCGAAAACACCACAGAGGGATTCTAGAGTAAAGTGGAATACCTCTAAACAAGATTCCTTTGACAAACGCTCCAAAAAGGATTATTTGGGAAAACCTCACAGCAAGAATCCTTCCAAAGAAGTTCCATCGGAAAGCCTCACAAGCGGAACCCTTTGGAAATCACCACAAAAGGAATTCCACCGGAAAGCCTCACAAGCGTAACCCTTCGGAAAGCACCACAGAGGGATTCTAGCGTAAAGCCTTTCAACAGGATTGTTCTGGAAAGCGCCACAGAGGGATGCTGGCGGAAGGCCTCACAGTCGGAATCCTTTGGGAAGCAGCACAGAGTAATTCGATGGGAAACCCTCACACTTTGAATCCTTTGGAAAACACCCTGAAAGGGATTCTATTGGAAGGCCTCATAACAGAAACGCTTTGGAAAGCGCCACACAGGGATTCTAGTGGAAAGCCTCGCAGCAGGAATCCACACCACAGAGGGAGAGGAGGAGAGGGAGAAAGGGAGTGGGAGAAAGAGAGAGAGAGAGAGAGAGAGAAAAAAAAAAGGAAGGGATCGGTGGGGAGGGTGGCATTGGACAAAACTTGTGTGTCTCCAGATTTCCCAAATATCCCAAATATTTCAGATACTACCCGATTGACGAACGATGTGTGTTTCCAGATTTTCCAGATATTCCAAATACTCTCAGAGACTACCCAGGTGAAAAACAATGTGTTTCCAGATTTGCCAGATATTCCAAATATTCTCAGAGACATGCCCAGGTGAAAAACGCTTTTGTCCAGATTTTCCAAAACAAATCCAAATCTTCCCAGAGACTACCAAGGTGAACAACCAAGTAGTCCCAGAGACGACTCAAGTATAAAAAAACATATGTTTTCCAGATGTTCCACATATCCCAGATCTTCCCAGAGACCACCAGGTGAAAAACCATGTGTGTTTCCAGATTGGAGGCCAGCCCATCGGCACCGCCCCTCCTCGGGAGAGCGCGATCATCATCATCATCATCATCATCAGCAGCAGCAGCATCATCATCATCATCATCACCATCATCACCATCATTAGCATCATCATCATCATAATCAGACTGATACCGGAGAAAAAAACCAATCAGGGCTATATATATACACGTATATAGGGCTAGGCGGATAGAGTTGTAGGGCTATAGGGCTATTGGGCTATAGGCCTTAGGGCTATAGGGCACCCCCGGGCACCCCCGGGCACCCCCCGGGCACCCGGGCACCCCCGGGGCCGGGCCCCCCCGGGCACCCCCCGGGCACCCGGGCCCCGGGCACCCCCGGGCACCCGGGCACCCGGGCGTGCCGCGAAAATCGGCGACAAACCTAACCTAACCAAATGAATCCGCTAGGACCCCTACAGAGGCAAGCTCTGATTGGGGAATCATAAGCATCATCAACATCATAATCATTATCAGCATCATCATCAACAGCGTCAACGCCACCATTATAAGCATCGTTAGCAGCAGCAGCAGCAGCACAAGCAACATCATCATCAACATCACCGTTCGAATCTCCTTTACCATCGCATACATGAGCACCAATAGTGTCGCCATGAACATTTTGGACACATCTTTGTCCGTCCTGGAAGCCTCCAAGAAGCCTCTTGGGAGCCTCGTGAAGCCTGCAAGGGCCGTAATTAGGGGGGGCCGCCTTGACTAGTCTGGGAGCGGGGCAATATCACCATCACAACAATCACCAGCATTACCTGACTTTTTCCGATCATGGCACCCATAGCATCCTGGTTAAAGTCGTCGTATTTCCATCGGCCAGATGTTCCCGGAGAAACCACTGGGCACAGCAGGCCTTCCGCGCGTGGGAGGCTCGGACGGGCCGACATGGGAGAAGGAGACCAGCGCCAGGTCGGACGAGCGCCTCGGGGAGAATTGTCAAGGCGCGGGGGGGTTCGGAACGGACATTTGGGAGGCTCGTTAAAGCTCCAGGCACGCATGTGAAAATCTCTTGGGGTTCCCCGTAGCCCCGCTCCGGGGCGCCTTGAGGAGTGTCGCAATGATCGTCTCCGTCATCGTCATCATCATCGTTTTCGTAGCCATCATCGCCATCATCATCATCATCATCATCATCATCATCATCATCATCATCATCATCATCATCATCATCGTCATCATCATCAACTACGTCGCCACGATCGACATCGTCATCATCGTCGCCACGACCCCCGTCATCCTCAACGCCACCACGATAGCGCAATCATCATCACCGTGCATCCTCATCATGATCGCCAATGTCGCCCTCGCCTGCGCGCTGACTTCAACGGGCAACGTCGCCGCCCTCACCGAAGCCGACATCTTCGCCGTTCTGATGTCATCATCGCGATCATCGTCATCACGACCGCCACCATCGCCACCATCACTGTCGCCTTCACGATCACCATTGCCAGCGTTGCCATCACAATCTACACCCTCAAAACCATTCATTAATCCGAAAATCGCCACGGCGACCACTGTCGTCGTCGCGGTCGTCGCGCCGTCGGCCGATCTTCCTGCGGAGGCCTCTGGGAGCATCAGGCCTGTTGCGCGCGGGGGGCTCGGTCGGGCCATCGGGAGTGGAGAACGTTGCCTTCCTGAGGGCCCTTCGGCAACGCGTCGGGGGCCTCCTGGGGGCGCGGCGGGGCCACCTCGGATCTGTCTGGAGGCCGCCCGGGGCAGCCTCGGCGGTCTTGAGGGCCGCCTAGAAGCAACGTCGGGACGTCTCGGGGCCATCTTGAAACGTTCGGGGGGCCCCCGTCGACTGCCCCGGGCCCTCCCGACGCCCCCCAGGGCGTCTTGGACCAGCCCGATGCCTCAGAGGCCTCTCAGGAGCGGCACAGGCGAGACATCCAAAGACCTTCGGTTCTCCTGCGATTCATGGATGAGTTTGGCCGTAAGGCCTTCGCAATACGAAGAGGTGCCATGGAAATCTGGGGAGAAATCATGGCGCCCGCCATGATATCCAACCTCCGCCAGTCATCACCTCCCTCTTGGCCGCCCCCGACCCTGGCGCGCGAAGC